AGTAGGACTTGAAAAACAAGGCTTGCCGGGCATGGTGACGCACGCCTTTAATCCCAGCACTCGTGAGGCAGAGGCAGGCATATCTCTCTGAGTTCGAGGCCAGCCTGGTCTCCATAGCGAATCTAAGCCAGCTGGGGCTACAGGGAGACCCTGTCTCAAAAAGACAAAAAAAAAAAGAAAAAAGAAAAGAAAAACAAGGCTTGCAGAAGCACAGTAATAGTCACCATTTTAGCCAAAGGAAAAAACAAAGTTCATAGAAGTACAGTTAGACTCATTTTCTTTAGAAGAAGAAAAAAACCAATAATTTCAATGTCTCTGAAGTGCATTTTCCAGGGATTAAATGCTAGATGGAACATGAACATTGGCTTCTAAAGTTGGCTTGACCCGATGATGCAGGATTTCCTCTTTTCTACTTCCTGGTTTTTCCTAACTGCTGCATACTCCATCACCTTGCCAGTTGGAGGGTGAGGTCTTTGAGACCATGCCCCTCACTTGACCCTTCCTTTGTATTTGGAGATGCTATTCTAGTTTTAATGAACTTGGAATCTTGAGCCACGTTCTTTTCCAGCTACAATCTGATTTCTCTGCTCTTTCTTACAGTGAACCTTCTTGAAGGAATGGCCCGTACTCACTGATTGTATTTCTTTATCTGCCACTCTGCTTCCTGGCTGGCTAACCAAAGGCCTTCCTATCCTCCAGTTGACTCTTGGGCCCCATCTTGTTCTCTCAGTGACATTGATCAATTAGTAACTGATCTCTTGATTTAAAGAATAACACAGAGTTGTGGTGGTGCGTGCTTTTAATCCCAGCACTGCGGAGGCAGATCTCTGTGAGAATGAGGCCAGCCTGGTCTACATAGTGAGTTCTAGGCCAGCTGGTGCTACAGGGCGACCCTGTAACAACAAAAAACATTTTAAGCCTGGTGTGGTGGTACAGGCCTTTAACTTTAGCAGAGGTTAGGCAGACCTCTGTGAGTCCAAGGCCAGCTTGATCTACATAAGATCCTGTTTAAAAAAAAGGAAAAAATTTACATTTTACATTTTATTTTGTGTATTTGTGTGTGTGACTTGGGTTTGAGTGTGAACGTCAGACAACAGCTTGAAAGTGTCAGTTCTCTCCTACCATGTGGGTGCTGGGGATTGAACTCAAGTCATCAGGATTGGTGGCATGTGCCTTCATACCCTGAGCCATCTTGTCAGCTCATTGAAAGATCTTTATTGGAGGCTGGAGAGATGGCTCAGTGGTTAAGCAGCCCCAGGTTCAATCTCAGCATCCACATGGCGGCTAACAACCATCTGTAACTCCAGTTTCTGGGGATCTGATGCCCTCTTCTGGCCTCTGTGAGCATTGTACAACATGGGTGTACTTGCATACATGTAGGCAAAACACTCAGACACATAAAATAAAAATAATAAATACATATTTTTTCAAAAAAGGCCTTTATTGGCTTCTGAGAACTCACACTCTTCTAGGTTTCATATTACCTGAGTAATGGAACCTTTCTCTCCCTGTTTCTTTTCCTGAGTTATGAATGTTCACATGCCTCAGAGCTTATTTAGTTCATTTTATACTCCCTGGGAAATCCTCTATAATCTTAGGGCTTATACTGATGACTTCCTATGTTTCTGTCCCTAGCTCTGTTATGTCCCCTAATTTCTGACCTCTGCAGCATTGAACAGCACGGGTGCACTCAGGTACATGCAGGCAATACACTTGTACACATAAAATAAAATAATACTAAAAAAAGACCAAGAAAACAAAAACAAAATAAAATTAAAGCCCTGCACATAAACAAACACCCTCAAATCTGGAAATGGTGGTACATATCTGTAATTCCAGTACTCAGGAAGCAAAGGCCAGAAGATCAGAAATTCAAGGTTATCCTCAGGTACATAGTGAACTAGAGACATAAGACAAATTGCTCAGGGGTTAGGAATGTGTACTGCTATTGCAGAGGATCTGAGTTGATTCTAAGCCCCCATGTGGGGAGCTCACAACCACCTGTAACTCCAGCTCCAGGGCATCCAACACCCTCTTCTGGCCTCCATGGCACCTGTGCTCATGTGTACATCTCCCCACACAAACACGTACACACAATTTTTAAAACATCCTCACCATGACCTATGAGCCCTTCATTGTATTTTGTTTTCTTCTGACTTGACCTTTTGTCCCTTGGACTGGGTATTGAGTTCTAGGAACAGTGGCTTTTCTTGAACTTTTCAAATTTGTTCCTGCAGGGGGGTTTTATTTCTGTTACTTTTATTTACTGTGTTTTTGTACACATACCTACCCTCACTTACACAAATAAAATACATTAAAAATTATACTATTCATGTGGTTCAAGGAGTCAAGTGTTGTAAGAGATTTATAGATGTTAACTAATTTAATCCTCCCAGTAACCTATTTTCATAAGAGAAAATTGAGTCACAAAATAAGTAACTTGACTAATATCACATAACTATACACAGTACAAGCAGAATACACATCTGCTGGAATGACTTGACCACAAAACCATCATCAATTTTCAGCCTTTATGAAATTTCAAATGACCTAGGAAGACTGTGTCTTTGCATTCTGTCTTGGGTCTCTCTGCTTAATGACCTAGGACTCTGTAAATTAATCTCTATGAAGCCCTCTCTCTGTGGTGCTCATTACATAACAGGCTTTCTCTTTTCTCCTCCTCCTATATGAATGATTGCATTGGATATTCTTAGTATGATTGTACGTTATTTGGAATGCACAAATCATGCCTGTTAGTCAAGACCCAACACATTCCCCTGTAGGGAGAGCCCAAGGCTGAGGGTCAAGATGTAGGTCAGTCCTGATGCTCTTACTAATCCTTTGTGTGATCTCCAGCCATTCACATCTTATGTGTGCCTGTGGCTTCATCTTAAAATATGGAAGTGGCTGGGCGTGGTGGCACACACCTTTACTTCCAGCACTTGGGAGGCAGAAGCAGGCAGATCTCTGAGTTCAAGGCCAGCCTGGTCTACATAGGGAACTCCAGGCCAGCTGGGGCTACAGGGATACCTTGTCTCAAAAAGACAAAAAAAAAACCAAAACAAAACAGAAAAAAAACCAGAAGTGTACCTGGGAGGGTAGCTCAGTGGTAGAATGCTTGCTTAGCATGTGTGAGGTCCTGGGTTTGGTCCCCAGCATGTAGAAGCAGGGGGAAAAAGTGTAGTTGGACTAAATAATTGGCTTTTAACTGTGTTCTGTGAAGCCCAGCATTTTCTAATGGTAGGAGGGGGGCATGAAAGAATGGGGAGAGGGCAAGACTGATGAACCTGGGTGAGCAAGCTGCAGTCCTCTGAACTTTCAGTTGAAATTTAGGCTCTCCATTTTTTAAGCTGCTATATTTTATTAGAAGGGCGTCTTGTACTGCTCATAAAACAGGTGGAAATCACTTAACTTTTATTTACCTACATTCTTTGGAACTATCTTTTCTTAGCTTCTCTATTTCCTTTTTGCCCCAGACATACTAAAGAGTCTGCCATATTAAAAAGAAATTCCTTGTCTGCAATGAATATATTTCTTTCTCTCCTTTCTTCTGCCAATGAGTGAATTAAACAGGCCTAATAAGCAAGGCCCAGTATGAAAACTTCCAGCAAATTTAGTTTTCAGCTAAAGTTCTTGGGTTCAAAAAGCTACCCATTGAGACACAAAAGTAAAGTGACATACAGAAATTACATCTCAATGTTCTGTGGATTGAAGAACTGCTCTTTTCCTTTTGAATGAGCATTGTCATGGAAAATGAATGCCCTTCAAGAAGGACTTCTTAAACCAGGGGGTGTGCACAAGCCTGTCATCCCAGCATCACTAGCACTGGCCAAAGCTGGAGGATCATGAGTTCCAGGCTAGCCAGGGCTATACAGCACCCTGCCCCATCCCACCCCACCTTCTTTCTGTTTCTTACTAGTTGTTTCTCCATTGTTCCTAAACTTTCATTAGGAATTCTGCTAGGTAATTTTTATTCCATGTGAAGATTAGGGGATTAGATTGGACAAAGGAAGGAATCAAGTGCTCATTCTCCTCAGCTATCTTCACTGTAGGATCTAGTTTGGGTTTCAGGGCAAGATAGACCCAAATCTTCTTGATTTCCTACTTGGACTCTAAGATGTTTATCCTTTAAAGCAGATTCTCAAGTTCCTTTAGTGGAGGCAAATGTCACAGCAGTTGAAGACCATCACACATCTTCCCAGGAGAGTGACCATATTCTTGAGCTGTCATGGCACTTTCCTTTTTAACATTCTCTTGCCTTAAAGACAGTTTGGTGTATTAAAAATCCTGGAGGAATGCAACTCCAGTCTTGATTCTAGTTCTATGCCAGCCACTCAATATGTTGAGGTAAGTTAATTTACTTCACGTGACCAGACTGAAAGTTTAATTTTAAAAACAATGAAACAGATGGTTCCCAAGTTCTTTTACCATTTTGTTATTCTAATGCCAAAATAACTATTGAAGAAATTGTCTCCAGTTGTTGGTTCAGCCTTCAAAACCACCAATGGGCCCGATTTAGAGGTTCGGGTATGGGAATTCGACTTTGATATTCTATGCCCTTTGCTTCATGTCAATCTGTTGATAGGCAGCAAAGTTGGTTTTCGGTGAGATGACTGTCTTGTTACTTTTTTGGTTGGGATTCTTCATGTTCAGAGGTCCACCGAGAACTTCAGTTCATCAACATTTTTTCCTTTGAGCAGTGTCTCTGTAATCAGGTGTAAGATGGTGCTGTGAACCCCTCACAGCCATTTCACCTAGTCCTCCAGATTGTCTCTTTATTAAGACCTTTCATTCTTCCCTTATCACTTAGTCATGGTCCCTTTAAGGGAGCGGCCATAGTTGAGTGGTGGGAGCAGCTGCTGGCAGCAAAGAGACTTGCAGGATTTGGCCTACTCTGGGTCATCCACCGCGCACGCTCAGGACCGGGGGCTTGGTGGGAAAGGGAGGCGGTGCTTGAGGTGCGCCTGCGCGTTAGGGGCGCGCGCAAGGGGCTGGTTTGGTGATCCCTTTAAGAAACCACAGGCGGAGGAATTTCTCTGAGAGAAAATAATCCTACTCACGGGGCCCCTTGGAGGCCATTAACCCCCCGAGTCCCGGCCCCCCCGCCCCGCCAGGCCCTCCCGTCCACGCGCACTGCCGTGGGACCCCAGGAGCTGCGGCCAGTGTGCGGCCTCCGCCCCCTCGTCACTCCCGCGCCAGGCCCGGTCGGGGCGAGGGGACCGCCGCCGCGAGCCGGGTGCCGTGTCTGCAGTGTGGGCGGGGGCCGAGGGGTGAGAGGGGCCGCGACCGCGGCGCCGGGAGCCGCCGCGGTTCCGAGCGGGGCCCAACATGGCGGAGCGAGAGGTGGAAACCGGCCCCCGAAAGAGGGTAGGTGAGGTGAGGCGAGGCCGAAGGCTGGCGGCGGGCGACCAGCGACTGGCGCGGGGGCGGGGCGCGGCCGGCCTCCGTCAGCCCGAGCTTGCAGCGGGGTCGTCGGCGGCCGGAGGGAAGGGCGTCTGAGGCCGCCGCGGTGCGGTGGGTGGCCGGGGTCCTTTCGGCAGGTGGGACAAAGCTTGGTGGCCGGCGGGAGGGGGAGGGGCGCGGGCTGTAGTCTGCCCGCTGGCCGCTTCTTCCCGGCGTCGGGGTGGGCGCTCTGGAGCCCTGGGGACGCCAGGTGTCGGGCTCCCCAACTGCATCCTCCACGAAATGCTAGTCTCTCGAAGTTTCACTGGGGAGAGGTCAGGTGGGGAGTGGTGGCGGGAAGAAGTGGAGGAAGGTTGCCTCCTGAGGAGTAACCTGGAGGAGGGTGCTACAGGAACACCGTCGCCAATTCATCTTCCTGCCTCCTCTCCCCTCCCCCTTGACCGTTATCAAGACCTAAAGTGGCCCTGGTCATTTGCACCTCACCAGAAGTGGTGTCGTCCTGACTGCGAGGAGTATTTTTTTGACAAATGTCATACAGTAGCCTCTTTACCCGCAGTTAGGGACATGGAAGAGTGTGACAAGTTTTGTCATAACAAGGATGTACCCAGGCAACCTGCCCGGGTGAAGCCATTTCTACATAGGAGTTGTCCTGAGCCTTTTAAAAGTTTGTCTTGAAACTTTGTGAGTGATTTTAATCAGAGAACAATACTATCGATTGAGCAATGTTTTTCAAGACTTTTCTTTGACTTCCTTCCCCACTCCTCCCCACCAGCATGTTAAGCATCAAATTTCCTATCAGGAGTCTTCCTTTTGGAAATGGACTCAAAATGATCAGCCGACCTGGTTAAAAAAAAATTGCTGCTGAATCTTCACCAGGATACCTTTTCATTTTAGTATAAAATTAGCAATCTCTCAAAGATACTTAGAGTTAACATTTTGAGTGCTCTGTGCCTGACACTGTGAAGTGCTTTGTGGAGAGTTTAACCTCATGGTAACATTGTGGATGAGGAAATGTAGGCACAGAGATGGTAGGTAATTAAGTCTGCAAGTCCAATTAACCTGCAAGTCTGCAAGGTTTGAGCTGGGATTTGAATACAGGATTGTTCCTTCTAAGTGCCTGTGTTGAATGTCACTTAGGATGTACCTGCTGCCCGACATTGCTGGGCACTGAACCCAGGACCTTGGTGGAAGCTAGGCAAGCCTTCTATCACTGAGGTACATTCTCAGCCTTAGGAATTTCTTCATTTCTTAAACTCTTAAAACCTTAAATGATGCATAACCAAATATTCCCCCCCCAACAGTTGATTAGGAAAATACTTAAAAATATCAAGCAAAATTGAAAATACAGTTTCAACTCAGGATACAACCATTATCTCAGACCCTAGATTCTCTCATTGATATTTTACTAGACAGTTGCCTTATCACAGTTACCCCATCTAGCCATCCCTTTATCCATTCATTAGTCATTTAAATACATTTCCTTTTAGCATTTTGAAGAATTAAATTTTAACGTTGATAGTCTTAGATTTTCAAAATGTTAGATTCTTTTCATCTAGTAGTCAGTCATAGGTAGAACAAATTAAGGTTTATAACATCTCTAAATTGCTAATTTAGTATAAATATTGTATATAGAATGCATATATTTTGAAATTCTAAATCGTTCATCAATCTGATCAGTTGTAAACTATATCTTCATTGATCTTCATTATCTTGAGTGAATGCATATAACATATGGTCTACTAACTAAAATATGTAGGATAAGTTAACTGTATCGTGTTAATTCAGAGATACTCAGTTGCTACTGGTGCTGTTGCCATTTGCTTTATAGAATGTTCTAGAAAACTCTTGTGTACTTTGGAAACAAATTATACTGATTTTAAGTATATTTTTTCCCTTGCGTTATATTTAAAAAGTGAAAAAGTGGGAACTGGAGAGATGACTCAGCATTGGCTGTCCTTCCAGAGGACCTGGGTTCAGTTCCTGGCACCCACATGGGGGTAACAACCATTCATAACTCTAGTTCCTGGGATCTGACACCCTCTTTTGGCCTCCATGGACATTGCAGGCAGAACACTCATACATTTTATTTTTAAAATATTTATTATTTTTATTTTATGTGTATGTGTGTATTGCCTGCATGTAGGTAAGTGCACCTGTGTTGTGCAATGCCTTTGGAGCACAGACTAGATGTCAGATCCCCTGGAACTGGAGTTCAGACAGTTGTTAGCTGCCATGTGGGTGCTGGGATTCGACCCCTGGTCTTCTGCAAGAGCAGTCAGTGTTCTTAACCGCTGAGCCATCTCCCCAGCCCCCTCATACATATTTTTAAAAATCCTAAATAACTGGGCATGGTGGCGCACGCCTTTACTCCCAGCATTTGGGAGGCAGAGGCAGGTGCATCTCTGAGCCTGGTCTACATAGTAAGTTCCAGCTGGGGCTACAGGGAGACCCTGTCTCAAAAAGACCAAAAAAAAAAAAAAATCCTAAATAAAGGAGTAAAAGGAAATGTGAAAAAGTGATTGTAGTCAAAACTTTTTTTTTTTTTTTTGTCTTTTTGAGACAGGGTCTCCCTGTAGCCCCAGCTATCCTGGAACTCAATATGTAGACCAGGCTGTGTTCCAGGGGGGCTGTGACTAGGGAGACCCTGTCAATAAAAACCAGCAAAAAGACAAAAAAGTATATTGATTCTTCCACAATTTCATACAGATATAAAATGTACTTTGATCATGTCCCCTCACTGTCCTCTCCCTAGTCCCCTGCTTTTATTTTGGGGCAAGGAACAACAGGCTGGCCTGAAATTCGTTATGTAGCCTAGACTGACTTTGAACTCACGGCAATCTTGCCTCAGCCTCCCAAGTGCTAGGATTGATTATAGCTATGTACTACTATGCCCAGTTTAAATGAAAACTTTGTTTATCCAATATGTTTATAGTGTTTGTGTATATTCTCATTTGAGAAGAAAAAGCACCTAATCTTTTCCTTAGAATTTGTAGATGCTAAAATAACTTAAATTTCATTTAAATTAATGGATGTAAATTATTTCTCAGGAAGGCATCAAATTAACTTTCCCCCTAGGAAATACTTTCTTGTTTGAGGTCATCTTAAAAATACCTTCCCTGGGTATGGTGGCGCATGGCTTTAATCCCAGCACTTGGAAGGCAGAGGCAGGCAGATCCTTGTGAGTTCCAGGACAGCTGGGGCTACAGAGAGACCCTGTCTCAAAGAGACCAAAAA